CTACGCCCCGACCCGGTCAAATGGACTGTTGGTTCTGAGGAACAGCTGCCACTCACCGTCCCTTGGGATTCAGGTTTTGCTGAGTCCCTTTTCAAAGATATTATCTAAGAAAACACGAGGCAGAGGAGCAGCTAAGAACTACAATTTTCTTAAAAAGTTTAATTCTTCACATACTCGTTGAGTGAGCATAACAGTATATAATGGGTATTTCTTGTCATTAGATCATCATTTTTTGGCACCAGAGCCAAAAAAAATACATAGTGCTTTTCAGTGGCTTCGGCTGATAAAATTGCTAACGTGATTTCTCGGAGTTTGGCGGTCACAAATGCAAGCTGCCCACGAGCCCACGGTATCTGCTGCAGCGCACCAGAGGGCCAGTTCCGTGAATTTTAACGTCCACCCTGGCCTGTGTAATCTTGCATGACTTGGACTAATTCCTCCTCCCGGTAAGGTTCCTTCAGAGGCGTGGCCTTCAGGTTCTTTGTCTAAGGATTTTAGAGAAGCAGGACACTTTATGGCTGGGGCTAAGCCCCCGCTTCCGCCCAACGACGGTTGTCAGTAGCTACGCTCAACTGCCGGCGCATGCGTGTGAGGGCCCCATGGTCTCCCCGGTGCCTTCTCATTCACTGCTTCGGTCTTCATGGCCACCTGCCGGGAGGGTGCAGGCCGTGTGCAGCTGGTCACGGAAACCACGGTTCAGCGGCCAGGAGACCCGTCTGTAAGCCTAAGACTTCTGACTCTCGGTGTGACGCTGAATGACCTCACTCTACTGCTTGCACTGCCACAGCGGTTCTCACGCCATGCTCCCCAGACCAAGGATACCTGGGCACTTGCTAGAAACACATTCTTGACACCCCCAGCCCCTCGGATCAGAGGCTGGGGGGCTAGGGGGCTCTGCTGCCCGTGGAAGTGGGAGAGGCACTATTTCCATTACACAGCGTTTGCATTAAATTCAAGGATCCAGCAAAGTCCCGATCCCCTACTTCTTTCCCCCAGGTGTCCAGCTGCTCTCCATGCTGTGTGGGGACAAACAGACCTCGGCCCCGTTCCTGCCGAGCGAAGTTTCGTCTGCTAAGTTATTCACCTTCTGAGTTGAGCTTCCCTCCCTGGGAAATGAAGGCTGCTACTGACCTTGCAGAGTTATTTCAAGGGCTAAGATGCAATAACACACGAGGAGCCCGGCAGGCAAAAATAGACAGCCTTATGCCGGGCGTGGTGATGCACACCTGCAATCCCAGCACTCGGGAGGCTGAGGCAGGAGGATCGTTTGTGAGTTTGAGACCAGTCTCGGCTACAAAGTGAGCTCAAGGCCAGCCTGAACTGCATAGCGAGACCCTGTCTCAAAAAGACAAAAGAAAAGAAAAAGCCTTGAAAAAGGAACCTTTCTCCACTGTCGGTTGGAGCATAAACTGCTGCAACCACTATGGAAATCAGACTCCTCAAAAAACTGAAACTAGAGGTTCCATTCGACGCACTTTTCCTTTCATGCATCTTCCAGAGAGCATTAAAAGCACCACACTGCAGCGACACATGCACACCCATGTTTACAGCGGCACAGTTTGTAACAACTAAATCTTGGAAACAGCCCAAAGGCCCATCAGCCAATGAACGGATAAAGATGTGGGGGTTTTTAGGGCCCGGGGATATAGCTCCGGGCACAAGCGCCTGCCCGGCAAGCGAGAGGCCGTGAGTTCGATTCCCGGTACCAAAAAAAAAAAAAAGATGTGGGGGTTTTTACACAATGGAGTACTACCCTGCCGTGGAGAAGGGTCAACTTTCGACATTTCTAGGTAAATGGATGCACCTGACACCACACTCTTCCGTGATGTAAGTCGGACACGTGCTTAAACACCGCACTGTTTCGCCGGCGTGAGAAACTGAAAGTGTAAACAAGGACCAAAATGTGTAACAGATGGTGGGAAATGGGAAGAAGATGTTCACATGACAAGGGGACAAGCTGATAAAACCTGGTGGCGGGGGAGGACGAGAAAGAGAAGAACAGAAGGGGAAAAATGGAATGAAACTTTTGTAGAAAAGCAGAAGCACAGGGGCCAAACACAGGGCAGGGGAAGAGGGGAAGGAAGAATCAAAATGTGCCCTGTACAGGTACAAAGTCCCTGTGATGAATGTGAGCAGCGTGTATTCTAAAATGTAGGAATAAAAAAAAGGAAAAAGAAACAGCCTGGGGGGGCCCCACCCGCCAGCTAAAAAAGCCTAACGCAGGAGACGGGCCCAAGTCCACTGGTTTGAGGAGCCCTGTCCTCAGCGGTTTATCAGTTTGTTTGAAATTTGCTGAGGATGAAGCCAAAACAACAGTAAGCTTTTCTCCCTCCAGTGAAATAACCTGGTTTAGAGAGGTTCTTCTGAACACCATCCCAAAGGCTTCTAGGGAAACCTGGAAGTCACGAGGCCAGGTACCCGCAGGAGCAGCGCCCTCCACCCTGACCTCTCAGGGTAAACAACAGAGGTGGCCCCCAGCCTCGGAGTGAAGCAGCAGGATGCCCGGAGCACCCAGAATCCTGTGGGCAAAGGAGGGCATCAGTGGCCCTGCGGGGCAGGAGCTTGGCAGCCTGTGGCCCCTTCCCTGCCCTTCCCCGATGACAGTGCCTCTGGGTGGCGCCAGGTCAAGCGGTGTGGAGATGAGATGATCTGACGGTCTGGGAGGCCGATGGGCGCAGGTTCCAGCTCGCTGCCTCTTCCCACACTCACCTGCAGGTCCGCACAGCTGAGGCTCCCAGCCAGCTGCCTCTGCTGACCTTGGCTTGATGGCAAGGGAATTTACTCTCTCCCCTGCCCCTCGGTGGGTGTAGCTTCTCACTATGTTCTACTCATTTCAATCTCCCAAATTAGATGGGTTGGGTAGCCGGAGGCCCACACAGCTGCCCAAGTTGAAATACTGGTCACATTGCAAGCTGGTATGTAACCCTGGGCTAGTTATGTAACTTGAGCCCTCAGTTTTCTTATCTGTAAAATGGGACAATGGTATTTACCTTTTGGAATTGTATTACATTTATAGTTTAAGAGAACTCATACGTAAAAAGCGTATTAAGAATATGGCTGGCAGCCAAAATATTTGCTGTTATTTCAACTCCTTATTTTGCCTATTGTGTTTCCAAACACCAACAAACAACAACCGATGAAACTGCACCTGCTGTTTCATCTCTTTCCCACCAAGGAACTGGCTGAAGACAGGCAGCCAGAGGCAGGGAAGGAAGTGAACAGCCCGAGAACCTCCGAGGTGACCTAACGTGACAGACAGGGACGGACGCTCAGTCTTCTGGAACAATAAGCCTCACCTTGCTCCTGAACGGTGCATACGCTTGGCTTCTAGTGCCACTGAGGACACAAAGATGCTGGCAGCAAGGACACAATCTACCCGAAGGAGACGACCTTATTCCACACACAGCACACTCATTCATTCAACAACCATCTGAGGCAGGACCCTCAGCCCCAGCAACGAGGCCATCAGATCCCCGGCCCGAGGACAGGCACAGCCCCGTGCACTGGACACACGCTGAGTGTACAGCCCTGCACCCACACGGCGGGCAGGGCCGCTCCTGGAAGCTGCACTGTCGGGCACGTTTTGCAGGTTTGGAAACTGAGGCTTAGAAAGGTTAAACCGCGCATCAAGGTGCCCTGGCGAGTAGATGGCAAAGTCCTATTTAGTTACCGTGCCGGTCTCCGGGGTTTATTTTTCAACAGGGAGTGGAGGAGGCCGAACTCAGCACAGCCCATGTTGCCGGCCCCAGCACCTTGGCACCTGCCTTCAGGAATGCCTCCACCACTAAACCACGAATGACGCGGACGCTGGTGAGGAGGCCAAGTCTTTGGGTGAGGTTTAGAGTCTTTTAAGACTTAGCCCCAGCCAAGCAGTCCAACTCCACAGCCTACGCCTGAGCCAGCGGGGCTTCCTGTTACTTCCAGAGGCTTCTCTGGTGCTCCTGCCTGTGCCTGCTTGCTTACAACAGGCATCTCCCTTTCCGCCCCCGGCAACCAGCAAGACCCCGCCCTTCACGGGGAGGAGGGGCACCTGATCCCACCCCTCCCTAGACAGGGTGATGAGCTTGCACTCTCCCGGCACTCGGCTTTACATCTGCTCGGCTACCGGCTCCCATGAAGGTAACTCACTCATCTTACTTTCTCTACTTTCTCTGATAATTTTCAGACCGCTTAGCCTGGGGCCTCCGCTGAATGAGTCAGGTTCACTTATAGTTTCCGGTGAACCGAGAGGAACAGGAAATACCACATTATTAACACTGTCTTATTGTCACCACTCTCCTATGTTTCATGCAGCTCCCAGGTTCCCGTGTGTTCCAGATTGTGCGTGTGTTTAGGACACCCAGGCACACTGCTAGGCAGGACACTGGCCAGGCCACTCTGAGCTACCAATTTCCATCTAAAACTAATCTAGCCTGGTGAGGTGGCACGCAGCTGTGGCACGCAGCTGTGGCCCCAGCTGCATGGGAGGCTGAGGCAGGAGGAATGCTTGAGCGCTGGAGTTTGAAACCAGCCTAAATCACCTAGTGAGACTCCATTTCAAACAGTAACCACAAAAACAGGTCTGGGAGTGCAGCTCAGTGGTAAAGCAATTCCCTAACATGCATGAGGTGCTGGCTTCAATCTCTAGCATCAGAAAAGCACAAAACTAATTCATACGAAATTTTACTGAAAGATACAGTAATCTTCCTTTAATATGGAACTCAATTTCCACTCATTTCTACTGAACTTGAATCTGCAACATTTTTTTTTTTTTGCCACGCTGGGGGTGGAACCCTGGGCACTGCACATGCCAGGCAAGCAGCACGCCTTTATAAAGTGCTCCATCACCTAGAGCAGTGACGGCGAACCTTTTAGAGCTTTGAATGATGACAAACAGCCCGCCGTGGCACGCGTGCCACAGGTTCGCCACCCACGTCTTAGAGCGCAGCTGGGCTCACTTTGCTGCGAAGTAACTCCCCACTGAATGCCAGGAGCAGGAATCGTTCTAGGTCCTTTCTTACCTGGATCCGATGACATCGAAAAGATGCTGCCAACGCTCGTTGATTTTGTGGAGCTTGTCACTGATCTCAGCGGCTCTGGCCGTGCCGCTGGCCTTGATTAACTGGTCACCCATTTGCTTTAACTGTAACTTGTTTTCACTGAACAAGTTTATTTCTTCCATGCAGTCCTGGCAGAGGCACCCCAAAACAAACCCGAGTTATTATTCTAAATTCATTTCTTCTCCAGACACAAACGCACAGATGCTTCTTAAATTGTTTTTTAAGATTAAAAAATTCCTCTACATGTCAATTCGTGAGTCACTAAAGGTCCAGTGGTGCCTGCTAGGCCTCGTGAAGGGTGCGGGGCAGCAGTTCCTTTCTTAACTCGAGAGTCCCTCCACGTCCCCTCACAAACATCTTCTGATCTACTGGGGAGCGGAAGGGAGCCCACAGAGCGAAGCCTGGGTTGGGGAGGTTTCCCTAGGCCTGGCTGAGGGGTGATTTGGGCAACTGAGGAGAATCCTCCATCACCTTTCCCCGTGGAGATCACTGGCCCACAAAATCAGGAGCCCCACCGCTGCTGGCCTCTCCCTTTGCACGGGTTCCCCTTAATGGTGACAAACAGAGAAACCACCACCGGCGTGGGGCGCGGAGGGCGCGGCAGGTGCGAGCCCTTTCTCCTGCCAGACTGACTTCCAGAGAAAGCGGCGCTCCTTAGCACCAGGCTGCCCTACTGCAGCCCCACCTTTCATGGCTCCAGAATCTTCTTTCCAACTTTTCCCTCAGCAGGATCACCGACAGTGAGAAGGCCCCTCACACTGCTCAGGTGTTACTGCAGACACCCGTGACTTCTCCCCCTTTGAGCCTGGCACCGAGGAGGGCGAAGTTTGCGCTCTTCACAACCATACCCACCCGGGCGGCCCATCCCCCTCACCTTCTGTAACTTCTCAATCATTTCTTCAATGCTGATATCCGCTGTCTGCAGAACCTTGTTTTCCATCTGCACCAGCCATGCGCACAGCTCTTTATTTTTTTCATTGAACACACTCCACGAGTTGAGTCTGTCCTCGATCTCCTGTTTGCGGACGGCCACCTGTGTGAAAACGCTCGCAGCTGAGGCGGGCAGGAAGGAAGCGCTTCCTCTCTCCCTTCATCAAAAGGACCTGAGTCTCATTCATTTTGATCGGCAGCACTGCAGAGTCAAATCTCTACGTTTCTTTCTCATAAAATCCTAGAGCTTCGTGTAAACGGAAAATTCTGGACCCTCTCGTCACTGCCATAAAAGTAACCAAGTAACAGTTTGTGAACTGTGCCTGACTGAAAGGATTTTGACCCAATGTACATCGACTACTATTGGGTCACATTAAAATTTAGAAACAAGAAAGATTTGATAAATATATATCACCTAAATCTCTTGTTCTTGTTCTACTGATATGCATTTATTGACTGTTTACTATATGCTAATTTATAATGTTATGGCTTAAATCCTTTTAAAAGCTGATCAAACCACCATATACCTATTTAAGGCCAGTGTCTTGCCTATTTAATTTAAAAACTATAGTCCAGGGCTGGGGATTTAGCTCAGCGGCAAAAGCGCCTGCCTGGCAAGCGCAAGGTCGTGAGTTCGGTTCCCGGTACTGGAGAAAAACCAAAAAAAACCAAAACAAAACAAAACAAAAAACCTAATAAAAACTATAGTCCAGATCACAAAATAAATTAGGAATTTGCAATGAAATGCACCAAGAAAATAAAAATCTTTGCAATATTTGACTTCAAAGCAAAATAAAGCAAAACTAAAAGCACTGCTCACTGTTCAGCTGATCCAACGTCCCATTATACACTGTATCTTTCGAATGGAAACCATGGAAGTGTCATAAAAAACTGTAGTGCAAATAAGCTGACCCCAAATACCTGATTTTCCATTACGCATGAGGAACCCCTAAGCGGACAACAGCAGAGGGCTCTCCTCCCTTTAGGGTTGAAATACATTACTAAAATGAGTTTAACCTGGGCATGGTGGTGCAAGCCTGTAATCCCAGCACTCAGGAAGCTGAGGCAGGAGGATCTCTGTGAGTTAGAGGCCAGCCTGGGCTACAAAGTGAGTTCAAGGTCTGAACTGCATAGTGAGACCCTGTCTCAAAAAGGCAAAAGAAAAAAAAAAAAGTTTAATGCAAAGCAGTCTTACTAAATGTACAAAGGTATCCTCAGGTCCTGAAAAATTCAAATCTTAAGAGTTTTTTTGGTGAAGTTTTAACACCCTACTTAGTATTATTTTCCAGTGCTGGGATCGAACCCACGGCCTTGCATAAAGGAGGCAAGCGTGGGATCCTACCACTCAGCTACACTCCCAGTCCCAGCACCTCACCTAGAAACGGGAAAGCAAGGATAAAACCCCTCAGCTTTTCTTGCTGTGTACAAAGCAAAACAAAACTCTAAAAAAAGCCTTCTCTTTTCAGAGTGAGGCAAAAATACCAAATGCTTGTACAAGAAAACCTATCCCTAAAAAGAAAATAAAAACAAAACAACCTTTTTCCTTCCATTCTTTAGGGTGTCTGTTTGCCTTCACTTAAGCTCCTGGCGCGGTAACTGGCTTCAGAATGGTAACAATTAGGGACATCTGGTCTCCACTCTGCTCCTACCTTAACTTTGGAAATTTTTTCATACACTCTAAACATTTGTTCATGAAAACTTGAATAAAAAAAAAATCTTTTAAAAAAGGACACTTAGGGGCTGGGGATTTAGCTCAGCGGCACAGCGCCTGCCTGGCAAGCGTGAGGTCGTGAGTTCGATTCCCAGTACTGGAAAAAAAAAAACCCAAAAAATAAATACATAAATAAGTAAATAAAAATAAAAAATAAAAAAGGACACTTAAAATTAGGGTACATTGTGATGACCGCATTCTAAAATCAATTAAGTTCTTGAGAGGCGTTTTTACTTCAACTGTTCAAAAGTGTCTGGATTTCAGCATTTTAAACACTTTTCTTAATTCACAAAAAAATGAGATTGAGGAATGTATTTTCCTTAGAATTGTACTTCTTAAAACAAAAATCTTTATCCTGACTACTTGAATCTTTTAATTCCAGCTTGAGCCTGTCACAAACAAGCTGTGTAATACTCCTGCCACAATCCCATTCTTGGTAGGTACGAGCAATCGGCCGAGACAGCACAACCAGCGCTCAGAACGTAGTTTCAGAGCCCAGGTAACTTGTAGTTACCTCTGGAGATAAACCCTGGGGTGGCCCGTGCCTGCGGGCACTGGGACTCCTGCTGCTCTGCCCGGGACAGGCTCCCTAGGGAGGCCTGACTGGAGCTCTCCTGAAACTCCAGCCCGTCCTGGGCAAGTCACTGGGCAAACTCTGCATATCTGCTCACCACTGCCATTTTTCTCTCTGCTGAAGGTAGTTTTTAAAAAGCCCCCTGGAAGTATGCAGAGTTCTCTTACTTAGTGCTGTTGAAACAAAAGGGCCAAACCCGCTCAACCCCGCTGCCGCCTAGTTCAACAGGACCAGCAGCCGGCCGCGGTGCCCCGGGAGGGCCACTGGGTCCCCCGAAGGAAGCGCCTTCCTACTCAGCCTGGCCTTCGAGGCTTTGCAGTAGCCTCCCAGCCGCCTGCCCTGCAGCTGACTTACTCTGAGGCAGAGGTCCTCCCATTGTCTGTGCAAGTGCTCGATCTGCTCCCTCAGAGCCATCGCGTCCTCCGCCAGGACATGCACGGCGAGGTCAGCCTTCATGGTGTGAAGTTCTTTCAAGTTCTGAGTCCAGTTTGCCAAAGACTTCTCTAGTTCCTGCATCCAAACACAAGAGCGGGCGGTGGGGCGCAGAAGGCCTTAGCTCAAGCTGCTGCAGTTTCCAAACCTGTAGGCTCAGGCTTTGATTAGCTCTGGGGGAGGGGAGGCCGGGAAGGGGAGGGACCTCAGGAATGAGAAGCAGCCGCCAGCCCGAGTCCTGCCCGCCGGCGCCGCCCTCCTCGCAGAGGGGTGCCCCTCTGCCTCACCCCCTTCCTCAGGTGGGTCGGGTTCCTACAGCATTCATTCTTTCAAAGTCATACAGGTGTTCACCTTCACGTAGCGTGCAGAGTCTAACCACACTCCACACACACTGCACTGCATGAGGAAGAAAACCTAAACAATGCAGGCTGCTCCTGTGACTGCAATAAGGGAATTATTTTCAGCTAACTTTCTAAAAACAAATGAATATAATGGGAGAAAAGCAATTTCCTCTGGCGTGGAAACATCTTGTATTTATTGTTTTTACCCAGGGCCTCATGCATGCCAGGGAAGCGCTCTACCACTGAGCCGTATCAGCCCCATCTATTTGATAAAATGAGGTGGTTTTCAAATTGAAACTCTCAGTTCTAGGACTCAATCAAGAAAATCAGGTGGCCAGAGAGAAGGTAAAAGGAAACAGTCAAACCACTCAAAAGTCTTTGGGGTTTTATTGTTTATAATTCTTCATATATGGCATTTAAGGGTCTCCCGTCCTACCTTTCACCTGAAATGCGAAAGAAGAAATCAGTCTGAACTCAGAGTGGCCACAAGGAATGGTTAATTCTGATTGAGTTTTAGAGTCCTGAGGGCTACAGTAGCAAGATTTCACAACTTGCCAACAAGAATTTGTGTTTAACAAGATGGTCTAGAGAATTCTGCTTAAAGGTTGCATGGAGTAAAACGTAACATTTTCGACAGAGAAAAAGCTTCACTTTAAAACTTTGTTACTCTACTTTAGACTCACGATTCCTTTTAGACCTATGATTCCACCACAGTGCAAGACAATGGATTCTGCACCCGGGAACGGCCACAATAACCTGCAGGGGGCAACCAAGGAACCAGGTATTCGGCACTTCCGTCAGGGGCCAGGAGGCGCCGCTTGTCCAGGGCCCTGCTCACAGGTCCTGGCTCTGATGCCTGCCCAGTTTGTAGGTGGTTTCAGTTAGGTTTGAATCAATACTTGCCATATTTACAATGGAAATAATACAGACAGTACAACTGAGGGTATGGGACCACGCCCTTTTCTCACCTGAACTGGGCCACGCCGCTCGGCCAACTCCCTGACCTGTCCTAAGGCTTACTATCCCCAGGCAGAGATGAGAATAACAAAGACCCCTGGAAAATTCAAAATTGTGGAAGTTCAAACCAAGATGCTGTGTGCCAGAGTCTCTGGCATGACCTACAGCAACCTTTCTTCACCTGGAGATTATTAAGGGTTCATGCACAGGGACTGCACCTCATACACCCACTGTAACAGAGGGAATTATGGGAAAGGGCATGGACAACAGATACAGCGCCCTGTCAATCACGCTGCCAGCCATGGTCTGGGAGACCCAGTGAGAGGGTCCTACACTCGGTACAGAAATCTAAATTCTTAAGCCCAGCACATTCAGCACGTTCCACCATCGGGTCACCACTGCCTAGTTAAACTTCACTACACTTTACTGTTCTTTCCTTATCATCGTGTGCCAAGTCCAATTCTTCACTGGTCAGGCACAAGAACCTAGAAACCCATGCAGGACCCCATGACCCATGGCCACAGAACAGTGTAGGACTATTTTTTGGTGGTGCTGCGTGTAGATGGAACCCAGGGTCTTGCACTTGGGAGCGCATTCTACCACTGAGCCAGGGTGGAGGGCTTTTTTTTTTTTTTTTTTGTCTTTTTGAGACAGGGTCTCGCTATGCAGTCAGGCTGCCCTCGAGCTCACTTTGTAGCCCAGGCTGGTCTGGAACTCACAGTGATCCCCCTGCCTCAGCTTCCCGAGTGCTGGGATTACAGGTGTGCATCACCAGGCCTGGCTGGACTTCTGAATATGGACAATTCTATGATTTTTAATAAATACTGCTAAAACGCATTCTCAAAAGGAAGACTCTATCTCTTTTTTCACCTACTTTTTACTTTGAATTTTACACATTTTGGGGCACGGTGAGTATGTGGAATGAAAACTAGTTATTCTTTGAGTTTGCACGAGTAAATTCCCAGCCTAGAATGCTACCCAGCTGTCGCAGCCGAGATCTAAAATAATGCCCCGAGCTACATGCTGGGACGCTTGGTTGCCGCTGTTGCCGCTGAGGGGCTTTGGGAAGGTGACTGTAACAGGAGGCCTCAAACTGCATCAGCGGACTAATCCATGGAGGGAGTTGTAATCGGCAATGGGTAATGCCGAGTCACTCTCTCAGCTGATTCACAGGCTTTCTTTCCACAAAGTCTGGGACCCTGTGCAGAATGTGAAATGTGACCCTGGGAGGAGACGCATTTTCTCCCAAGTATCACGTATCAGTTTCCAGCAGAACCTTTCAGCTTCCATAGCCTCAGCATCCCAGGTATCAGTGGAAAGAATCAAGAAGGGGCAGACAGTACTCGGCCAACTCAAGCTGTGGCTACGCTGCAGCAAGATCGCAAGTAGCCTGAGGCCCGCTGAGGACCGCGCGGGGCGTCCTCACTTGCACGGGAGCACGCTAGCTGCGTGACCAGTCTGAGCTTAACTGTCTTCCTCCTAAACCTGCACTCCTAATATGGCCAAGTCGATGTCTGAAATGATTTATGTACACAGCGCACACACAGGTTGGGCATCCCTGATCTGCAAATCTCAAACCCCAAATCAGAAACTTCTTCAGTGTCACTTTGCTGGATTTTGGAGCAGATTAGACTTTGGATTTGCAGAGGAGGGATGGATGTTCAGCTCACAGTCTACGCAAATATTCCCAAGTCCAAAACATTCCAAAGTGAGAAACACACCTAGTCCCAAGCATTTTCCATAAGGGATACTTGGCCTAGATGCAATTCTTTACATACACATTCGATGGCATTACTGGGAGGCAATGGACACTCCGGTGGGACTCAATGAAGGGAGCTGATCCTTCTGACTCTACCCTGTCCCCACGCGTTCTCCCTTACTCTCTTTGTGCTTCTCCTGCCTCAGCCTCTTAGGCATGTGCCACACATGAAGTTTTTGACATTTCTGTATCCTTAGGCTTAGATCAAGACATCGGGAAAAAATGAAACTTCCAGAAGGAAATACAAGATTAGATTTTATAACTTAGATATGGAGGTTTCCCAAAAGGAGAGCACAAATCATCTACGAAAATACTAATAAATTTATCTACATTAAAATAACACAATCAGCCAGGCATGCCTGTAATCCCAGCACTTGGGAGGCTGAGGCAGGAGGATTGTTGCAAATTTGAGACCAGCCTGGACTACAAAGTGAGCTCAAAGCCAGCTTGAACTGCTGTCTCAAAAAGAAAAAAACCCAAAACCAAACCAAAAAAAAAAAGACAATAGAATAACACAATCTCTTGCTCTGTCAATGACACACACATCCACACCCACGCAAAAGCAGAAAAACAAGCTCTCTGAGGGGAAAAGACATTTCCAACATATGTACTCAACAGAGTAATATGAAGAGTAAATAAGTATCTTGTTAAATCAATAAGAATGGGACAAATAGCAGAACATAAAAATAAGTTAAAAATATAACTTGGCAATTCACAAAAGGGCAGATTTAAAGGAACAGTAAACATAAAAAAAAGTTCAGTTGACTAGTAAACAAGAAAGAGACGCAATCTTACTCTCATCAGAGCAGCAAATGTTTTAAAGGAAACTCTGAAAGTACCAAGTGATTGGAGCAGAAATCCATAAACTGCTTTGTATCCACACAATGCACACTGTCCAGCAATGAGAATGAAGGAACGATCAATCTCGAGACTGGTGACTTAAATCATAAAGAAGTTGCATTAGATGTGCTACACAGTATGGAACTGCTTATCTAAAGCTTAAAGCCAGAAAGGAATACTTCCACATTACACAGAGAGCTACATCACGGTGTGTTCAAGCTGTAAAGAAACACAGAGAATGATAAACCCCAAGTCAGGGGGGCAGACGTTCTGGGAAGGCAAAGGGCACTGGAGATTAAATGGGACCCTGGAACTCATTCCTGATGTTTTATTTCTTTAGCTGGTGATAGCTGCGTGGCAGTTTTTTTGTTTTTTGTTTTTTTTTTCCTTTTTAAACACAGATATTTTTACAGAAAAGAAAAACAATGTAGGGAGAAGGACACTAATTTCTGGCATAGCTTCAAGCATAGGACTATTCATCTCTCCCTTATTTTTTCAATTGGATTCCTAAAGTCACTGAAGGAACTAAAAAAATTAAAAATTAAGAGAGCCTCCCAATAGGCTTCTGATGTCTTTTCAACACGCGCAGACAAGAAAGAGGTGCAGGGAGTTTCTGACTTGGCAGTTTTGCTGTCCAAATGTGTATCTACAAGTTTGTCTCGTCTTCTGCACAGCCCGGAGTATCCAGGAATGTTGGCTGTGTGTACTGGACAGGTCAGATATGGTCTGGAGGGTTTTATGAAAATACTGTACTTGAGCAAAAAAATCAACCTACTGATTTTAAAAACGAATCCTTTAGTCATACTTCATTCTCACTGCAAAGACGAGATAATTTAAGAGGGAAGAGTTTTAAAGTAACCTCGGAAAAGAGAAGCAGCAGATAGAGAGAGGACCTGAAGGAGAAAAACCCCCAAATCCTAACAAGTGAATTTCTGCAAAAGTCTTTCTTGTTTTCATACAAGGATTGCAAAAAGCATCAATCCTGGTATCTTAGGAGATTGGGATGTGATGCCCTTAGACAGATGACAGATGACAGTCAATTTTTCGGAACACGGAGAAAGAAAGGCAAGCAAACAAAACAGCTCCGCGATTATCCTGACCACGGTTCGGCTTCAGTACCTTAATCAGCTCTTTTTCCTTATGGAGGTCCTCGTGAAGCTCTGGAAGAGGATTTTTACTTTGTGCTTTTAGAACTTGCAGCCTGCTTTTCAAATCCTTGATTTTCTTTTCACACTGGTCGCAGGTCTATTTGAAAACACATTAACAGTGGTGAGGATCTGGCTCTTAAGAATGAACTGCGGAAACAGAATAGCTCGTTTAATCCACGCAGTCTTTCTTGTAAACATGTCTTTGTAAGCCACTCAGAACCCGGCTGCTACTTTTGCGCAGTGATCCCAACAGCAGGGGGGACATCAGCTACGGCTCCATGCGTCTTTGCAGCTTCACCTGGGGCTCCTTTGGATTTGCTTGGAAATGTCTCTTCCTCTCTCTCTGATCTAATCTTACTTCTACTTCAGCGCAGGAGAAGTTCCCCTCTAAAAGACCACTGCGAGGATTAACTTTCAGCATCTGCAGTTTCAGGCACAAGCTATGGAGTATTCTGGGGACTGGTGCTGGGTTGGAAGGCGTATGTGTCCATGTTGCCATCCAGGAAAGCACTCAGCTACTGGCCTGTCTTTTCTTCTAATGTCACCTCTCTGCTGGCTCTCTCTCCTCCTCATGTCTCGGTTTAGCAACCCCTGTGCACTCAGCCTTCGCTCTGGTCATCCCCACCGCCCGGCCTGCACTGTCTGTTTAAAGCACACTGTGAGCGGGTGGGGGATGCCTAGCACTCTGGGATGCTAAGGCAGGAAGATCGCAAACTTCGGTCCAGTCTGGGTAACTTAGTGAGTCAGCAAGATCCTGCCTCAAAAGGAAAACAGAGAAAGAGTTGGGGATATAGCTCAGTGCAAAGGCCCTGGGTTCACCCCTCATTACCCTCCCCCAAAGAAAGAGCCTGAAAACCGAAAGGCTCAGAGCGTCCTGACTGCCTGCAGACAGGATATTAAAGGCCTAGGTAAATAAATGTCAGCCAGCTCCTCACACCCCGCACTGCAGAGCAAACAGGTGCCTGCACTTTCGAGTTCAGGGCCTGTGTAGTTGCTTCATTAGGAGGACTGATTTCTGCGGTTACTAAAAGCAGAGAGACATACAACGAACCATTCTGCTCCTCAGCACTTCTGACACCGGAACTGGGGTGGTCCACACCTAGGGGAGCGCCCCACTTAAGCGGAGGCCGCTTGTCCAGTAACTATGTGGAACCCACCTAACAGGAAAGCAAAAACAGAAGCAAACCCGCGTCCTGTGCTCTCCCACCAAGCGTTTCCTTCCACTCACTGATTTGCTGCACAAACACTGCAGATGCTCTAGTGGCGTTTGCTAGTTGATAAATTTCCCACGGTAAAGCCACCAAAAAAAATTCAGATCCTTTATTCACAGAAGACATGCCCAGGCCCTAGCTCAGCACGTATTTATCTTAATGTGGAAAAGCATGTCCAGAGCCTGGTTATCTGATACGGGTGCACACAACAGGTCAGAAAGGAGGGGGCGGCCTGAGGGTACATTAGCTCGAGGAAACAAACGGAGAAGAGAGCCAGCTTAATATTAAGAAGAGATAAATAAAACTGTAAAAGCACCTCAGAACTCAGAAAGCATTGCAGAGTCAGGTCATGGACTCAACAGCTTGGTATTTTGGCAGAATGATGACTTTTCCTACTAATGACTCAAAACAAAACATTTCTATTCTTAAACGTATTGCTACAAATTATCTGGGAAATGGACTTATTTTGTATTCTCTGATGATAAGACAAAAAAAGCTGTATCAGCATGTGTATTTTTATACATTATACACCAGGATGGACCAGATGTAGAACGTCAGCTTTATGTTTTAGTTTTCCACGGAATGTAAACAAGTTTCATAAAAGTAATTATTTCTGGGCTGGAGATAATAGCTCAGTGGCAAAGTGCCTACCTGGCAAGGACAAGGCCCTGAGTTTGATTCCTGGTTCAAAAAAAAAAAAAAGTAATTATTTCTCTCTCTCTCTCTCTCTCTCTCTCTCTCTCTGGTAGTGGGGACTGAACCCAGGGTCTCTGCACTGAGCTACCTTCCCAGTCTTTTTTTATTTTATATTTTGAAATAGGTTCTCATTAAGTTGCTAGGTTGTCAGATAGGACTTGAATTTGAAATCCTCCTGCCTCAGCCTCCCAGAGTCCTGGGATTACAGGAGAGTGCCATACCACACCCAGGCTAAAAGTAAGTATCTTAATAGTATCTCAAGTACTTATACACTTACCGCTGTGTTTTTTCAATGCTATATTATTATTTTATTAAGTCACGGGCATGACCCATGGGTGAGTAGGGCTTGAGTTCTGATAGCAACCAGAAAGCCTAGATTTGAATGTCACAAAAGGAAACATGAAAGGTGGCTTACCTCTACAGTGCTCTGGAGCTGTTTAATCGTCTCTCCTAGCTGGAGCTTTGTGTCCTCCCAGTCGTCCCGAAGCTGACGGATTCTCCCGTCAACCGATTCTTTCGTTTCCGGGTCAGAGGTGTTCAGTAACTTCTCCCCGGCTTCCAAGGCCAGTGCATAGCTGGTTTGCCGTCTCTGAAAATGGGCTTCTTTATTCTGAAAAGAAAAAGTAAAGTGACTTCAGCCTCTGATGTGATACAGATGAGACTGTGTGTGCACACCTCCCTCGGAGCCTTTCCTCGGTATCACATTAGACCTACTGTAACCAATGCGATCATAATGTATACAAGCGCACTCACTCATAACAGTGCCAGCGTGTACCACGAGCACAGCATACTACCAGATTAGGTGTTCTCAAAATAATTTCCAGTGATTCCCATGAGATCAGATTTTTGGTGCAACGACTGGATGTTCAGGGAAATTACAAAATACACTTTGTAGAATAAAAGCCTCCAAGATCTAAGAGTATTAAGAAAACATTTAGCATATTAGATCTGAAAGGACCACTTAGACTGGTTATCACCATGGCAACCCGGAAGAGTAGACGGTGCACAGAAGGCCACAAAAATATAAAAGCGGAGAGAACAAATTCAAAAAGATAAACTGCAGCTGGGCTTGGGGGTTACATTTTAGATTTAAAGCATAACAGGCGGATCTGTTCAGGTCTAAAATGTCCCCCCAAGCCCTCCTGTGTTTGGAAGGCAACTGGCCCAGGGGCTGCCGTCCTCAAAGGTGGATTTGCCCACGGGTACTCAGGAGTCAGATGTATTCTTTTTTGTACCAGGAATTGAACTCAGGACCTTGCGCTTGCCAGGCAGGTGCTTATACACTGAACTATATCCCCGGCCTGGAGGTCAGATGTATTCTCAGCAGCAGGGCAGGGGGCCAAGGCCCGGAGGTTGCGTTCTTGTCTCAGTTCCTCCCTCTCTCTCTGCTTTCTAGCTGCTGGGGCCTGGGTGCCTTTTCCTTTGCTCTCTGGCCCCAGAGTCTGCTGATCATGGACTGAGACCCTGGGCCAAATTAAACCTCCCCGCTTGTGTCGGGTACTGTATCTCAGCAACAGGAGCGTGACCGAGACGGACTTCAGGCAAGCCCTTTTCTCCGCCTGAAAGTTTCTCTCCTCAGACCCTTGCCTGGCTGGCTCCTGATCTTCCGGGTCCCCATTTAAATGCCACAATCACAGACAGTACCTAAGGCAGTGATGGCGAACCTTTCAGAGACTGAGCGCCCAACTTACGGCCCAAACCCACTTATTTACTGCGAAGTGCCAACAGTGCAATAAAACCTGAATATCCAACAAGCGGCTGCTGGGGCCCCTTGGCTCCACGCCAAAACAGAGGGCCGTGTGCCCAGAGCAGCACATATGCCATTGGTTCGCCACCACTGACCTAAGGTGAAGCAGCCCCGTGCCCTGTTTGAATTACACGCATCAGTCTGACTGCCATCTGCTACTTTCTTGTTGCTTTGCCTGGCTGCCCTGAGAGCAGGATTTTCTCCTCGTCCGCACAGGGTGCCCAGCATTCGGAGCAGTGACTACCACCCAGCAGGCATCTAATGGATGCCTGGGGACTGGATAAATGAATGAGCGCAGCCTGGCACTGCAGACAGCCGTGTTGGGTTGAGCAGTTTCTCGTGAGTGCAAAGTGGCCCTAAGGCCCAGTGGAATGTACCACCTACTTACCCCACCCCAGTGCCCTCCGTGCCACGGAGCCCGCTCTCTCGAGTGTAATGTCTGAGCTCACAGGTCAGGGGCCAGGCTGGGGTGCACGCCTTCCCACTGCACAGAGCACCTGGACCCAACATCACGGAGAACACAAACCCTGACCACCGTGGCCTCGCGCTGCCACTGCGAGGGCCTTACCTTCAGCTCGTGGATCAGAGCTCTGGTCTGGAGGAGGCTGTAGCGGTCCTGGCCCTTCACCGCAGACAGCAGGAGGCTGGTGCCGCTGAGGAAGCGGAGCAGGTCCTCCAAGGCGGTGGAGAAGGACTGCCGCTGCCGCACCAGCCCAGTGACCTCACGTTTCCTCTGCCGAATGCCCCGGGCCACACTCTGCCACCGGTCCACCAGCTTTGAGAATTCTGGGACAAATTCTGGCCTGAGAAAAGTAGATGGTCATTAGAGAATCCTAGCATGAACGTGCAGAAAAAATAATTCCTTCCTATCAGCAAGGAATAAAGGCCCAAATTTGCTGTTTGTATGTACATTTTACACGGATTACGCAAGCAACTTCTTCAAATCTGAGCTTTCTTCAACTGCAACGCTAGGGGCCCTCTGGGAGGCGCAGCGTTTTGTCAGCATACGGGACATTGTCCCCCTAAACGCACTCTGGCTGCTCTAACACACCTCATGCCAGCGCTGCACGCAAGTCTAGAACGTGGGCCCACGCGACACACACAGACAGACAGGCGGGCACTCAGGCCGCTGCTGATCACCGCAGGGTGACTTCACGCGATTTCAATGCCACAGCGTGTGCTTGATTGTAGCTAAACTAGTTCTTTTCCAGGTAAATAATACTTTTCACATGAGAAATAAGGCTTTTTATTTATTTTGGGAAAGACACGCTTTGTCATACTGATCAAATCAAATCAAAATTAGCTTATCCTGGAACTGGTTCGAACTTAGTACTCTGGGGCTGGGAAGAATGGGCTTTATATTTCTTAGTTACGCAGGAAGAAGGTGCAGGGAGGGAGGAGAAACAATACCTATGAGGACATTTAAAAATTTTTAAGTGGCCAGGCCAGCTCAGGGCCGTCTCCATAAGTGCCGGCCACATGGGGGGATATAAATGGTCAACAGGTTGGCCGCGGTGACCCTGCTCCGCGTGGCTGGCCCTGCCCACTGCCCCGGCACCACGTGCACAGCTGGAGAAGGATCCCTTGTTTCACCACAGGGATGTGGCTTCCTGCCTGGAGCAGAAGTACTTTAAACCTTATTTTTAAATAATCAGACGCCATGAGGGCGAGGAGAGAGACGAAAACGTGCTGCAGAAGAGTCTTTCCGGGCGTTTTCCAAACCTTCTGCACTGCTGACTGCATCTACACAGCCCCGGGAAAAGTTCCGTCCGTGTATGGATGGGCACACAGCGACAGCGACTGTCCCGATGTACAGTCAGGAAGCCAGCCATGGCAAGCTACCCGCCCGTGGGCTGCAGGGCACGGGGGGCGGGGGCGGCTCACGTGTGGCCATGGGGTAGAGGACTAAGTTCTAGTGTTTTTTGGCTCAGTGGGGTGACCATCGCTCCCAAGGCACTACTATACATATTTTGTGGAGAACTACGAGAGAAGTTAAGGAGATGAAAAGGTGAATTATCTTGATTTGATTAGCATATTGCGTATATTCATTGATCTATCACACCGTACCCCGTAAGTATACATAAAACAAATACATAAGAAGATCTAGCAAGTCTTCCCTGACCCACTGCATTCATTTCATGGGTCCCAGACGACTTACCTCTTCTCTATTTCAGCTGTGTCCAGGAGTTGTAAAGACTGGGTGATGTAAGAATCAGCAATCGTCTGATGTATAGAAACTTCAGCTTCTAACATCTGTGTATTCATCAAAATATAAACTGTCAGTTAATAGAATTCAAGCCTATGAATCTGAGCTTACATCCTTTATTAAAATCTAAGCTCTCAGAGGATAGAGAGATGATTTATTTTTAAATTATTAGAGCACAACTGCAGGAAAAAAAAGTTCAGCCACCATCTCAACATCACCTTTGAACATAATCTTGAAAGCAAGATCATTTTTTTTTTTTTTTTGGAGACAGAGTCTCGCTATGCAGTTCAGGCTCGTCTTGAGCTCACTTTGTAGCCCAGGCTGGCCTCGAACTCGCAAGGATCCTCCTGCCTCAGCCTCCCAAATGCTGGGATTACAGGCGTGCACTACCACACCTGGCTCAAGCAAGCAGATCTAATAAGAACTATTACTAAATGCCTGTTTTCATTGGATGATCTCAATTTAGTAATTTAAATCAGTTACATTAAAAAGTTACAATAAACTGATTGAAAGCAGGTCTCGATAATTTGCTGAGCTGCTCTGGCTGGGCTAGAACTTGGAATCTTTCTGCCTCAGCCTTCCAGAGTACTGGGATTATAGGCATGCACTGCCACCCCCAGCCACTAGGAGTAATATAAATATGGAAACTCCTCTGTGAAATATTAAAGGCTGCTGTTATCATGGACCTGAGATAGGCTACAGAGAATTAATCAGTGAAAATGCAAACATGAGCTGGTGTAGTGCAACAGTCTCTTGGCAGCATGGTCTAATATCCGCACTGTGTAAAAGCAGCACGGTGCTAGAAGCTTCCATGTACTGCCGAAAACCTAGGAGAGGCATTACTAACGAAACGGAGCAGAACACAACGTTTAAACCTACAAAATGTGTGAGCATTTAGAAAAATGGTCCATTGGCACCTGTGTCGCTTGGAGAGTTAGAGACGGACTGGTGCTCCCTGTATTTTATTGAAATCTGTTGCTCCCTCACTCCAGCGCGGGGTGGGTGAGTGGCTCCGGGGTGGCACAGAGCACAGGTTTACCTCGCACATTCTCTGCTGCTCCTGGAGAGCTGGAAGGCTGCTGGCAACATTCCCTCCAAGCACCTCTTCTGTCCGCTCTAAGAGGTGGACCCACTTTCCACAGTAATGAAGAAACTTTTTATGGAGTCCGATTCCCTGCAGCTCACTGTGAAGGTTTAAAAACAAAACAGAGCCACAGAGTAAGGGCACTTGGAGCTCGCGAGACTCATTTCACCTGCGCTGAAGACATGGCAGAGAAGGGTGTGCCCACCTGCAGCGGTCCAGCGCCGTGGCTGTGGCCCGGACCCACCGCCGGTTCAGCTGCTGCAGGGTCTTCACCGCCACATCACTGAGCGGGAGCCTGAGGCTGACCTCATTCAGACGTTCAACGGCAGGAGCCTGGGCTGTCAGCGCCAGCACGTGATTCTGTCAAAAAAAATCCAGATGTTTGGACACTGTCAGATACCAGGTGATGACGTGGCCTCTTCAGCCCAAGGGTGAGGGGAGACCGGGGCCTGAGCTGCTACACGACCTGCCTGCTGCGAACACAGCTGGGCCTGAACTCGGCTCTAGATGCCGCACCTGACTGAGGGTGCCAGCCGGCCAGCAGCGCCTACACAGCCCAGGAAGGAGGAAGGGGTAACAGACTCTGTAAGATTCCTCACAGGATTTGAAAAAGACCGACATTAGAATTTAAGTCCTAGGCAGTCTGCCTAGAACTTGGCCTTCCACAGGTCACATGGTGTGTTTGCAGCTCAAATGAAAATTTGATCCTTAATAAAACTCTAGTAAAGGATAGTACTTAACGTACAAGCACAAATCCTAGCCCTATCTTGGTAGGACATGAAATCACAAGAAAGCAAAAACATCAAACTTTTATTTTTTAAAAGCTATTCCAGGGACGGCCTCGAGGTCAACAATACGTTAAACAAACATCTTTTGCAATATGGGAATTATCTCTGCAGAACCCTGCTGTCAGCGTCTAGTCAGGGTCAGCAAGCAGCTCCTGTAAAGGCCAGGTCATGAGTATCTGAGGCTTTTGTGGGCCATACGGTCTCAGCAGCGATGATCCAGCTCTGCCCTTGAAGCAAGAAAACTCTCACAAGAATGCGTAAATGGAAGGATACGGCTGCGTTTGAATAAAACTATTCATAGTAACAGCAGGTGAACCTGAATTTGGACAGCGTGCAGCAACCTGCTGACTCCTGATCTAGGTTATGGTCATCAATCCCTAGAGGAACTGGAAGATGTAGGATTTTTAAATTCTTTCATCTGTCTATGCTAACTACATAGAACTTAGTAAGGTAATAGAAGAGAGAAAATACATGATTTTAATGGAAATATTTTATACCTGATCTCCAACTAGACAGATTCAATTAAACACAACTGCCAGTCCCTGGATTATTCTCGTTCACTGAACTTAAACTTACAAGTTACTATGACATATGACTGAAATAGACCCCGGGGCTCTACTTTTCCAGACCTTAGATGAACTAGGGCTGGAATGAATAGCAAGTAGATGAGTGTATTCAAGGGTTAGTTAGGGTGCAGACAGATTCGACAGTGCGACCGAAATTGGCTTATTTTTATCCCTATGGTGAGTCTGCGTCCTCAGGAAAGACAGATTGCCAATACCAGGAATGAGTCAGGGTCTTCTTTTTCTAGCTGATAAAGTTCGTCCAGATTTTCTTCCTCATGTGTAATACGATCCTGTAAAGATTCCAGCTGCTCTCCAAATTCCTTGAACTGTGAAAGAACAAACTAGAAAGAAAGACATTCTCATTAGAAACAGTTTCTTCTTTTTTTTTGTCTTTTTGCAACAGGGTCTCCCTATGCAGTTCAGGCTGGCCTTGACTCACTATGTAGCCCAGGCTGGCCTTGAACTCACAACGATCCTCCTGCCTCAGCCTCCCCACCGCACCTGGTTTTAGAAACAGTTTTCATGAGCACATATAACAGACAGCCTTGGGGCCTGATAAGAACTCAACCCACAACAGCTTGTTATTATCTCAAAAATTCAAACACGATTATTTGAAGACTCTAGGTTCCCCAAGGTGTCTCTGAGCCTCCCGGGGAGAACAGCTCACGCGCTGAGAGGGCCATACAGAGGAGGAGGAGAGCCAGCGAGTACTCTGCTCCCTGGGTACTGTCAGCTAAGTAATTTGCTTTCTGCTGATACTGAGATACTGGAGCTCCACGGCCTTCTCATAGCTCCCACACTGAGAGCTTTTCAAAAAGTGAATAAAGAATACAATATTTGGCCATGCTTCAAGCAGCTGTTTCTATGATTCAATTACCCTACTTGGCAATCCAAATAACTGTGACCTGGACAGGGTATGAAATATATCACTTCTTAACCCGACATGCTCAATAAAGAACACCGGTGGCTTAAGGTCTGTCCACGGCCCATGTGACTGGCGGATGAGCCATGAATGGTCAGGCAGTTTAATTCTGCAGGTTCCCTAGGGCGCCAGCCCTACATCTCGACCGCTTCCTAGAGCACAGGGCTGCAGCAGTGCGCACACGGCCACGACTACCACTTGGATGGAAAGGTAAGAGCAACCTCGAATTCATTGGCTTTCATAAGCAGCATTTTTTCCAAATAAGCAGCTCTCTGGAGGGCGTGCTGCTGTCCAGACAGGAGCTCAGGGACACTGGACTCTGCGGGTTGTGGGAGCCGATCCAGCAGGGTGGAATTTTGGAGCAGGGCTTCTTTTGTCTTCTGCACATCGTGCTGCAGCTCCTGCAAAAGAAAGAGTGGTCACCAAATGCTTCCTTCTCTCATATTAGAATTCCCTATGCCCTGCTACTCCATCAGCATCTAGCAGAATTTCTGCCCTGAACTTGTAGATATGGTTTTTATTACGTTTATTTTAAACAGGTGAAAAAAACTTTCTTCAAATGATACCAGTGCCAGGTGTGGTGGTGCACGCCTGTAATCCCAGCACTCGGGAGGCTGAGACAGGAGGATTGTTGCGAGTTGGAGACCAGCTTGGGCTACAAAGTGAGCTCAAGGCCAGACTGAACTGCATAGCGAGACCCTGTCTCAAAAAGACAAAAACAAACAAACAAAAAACCAACAACAGAAGCTGGGGATTTAGCTCATCGGCACAGCGCCTGCCTGGCAAGCGCAAGGTCATGAGTTCGATTCCTGGTACCGGAAAAAAACAAAAAACAAACAACAAACAAACAAAAAAACCCCAAAAAACCCAACAACAATGAAAAACAAATGATACCGAGCACTGGTGCTGTTCTGACATTTGTTGGTTCTGAGCTATAAGTGACCACTGCTCAGTAGAGTTAAGGCTTCTAGTTTAGAGAGACAGAAGACCACCTGGGCGGGCTCATGTGCTTAAATTTCTAATTACTGGATCTAATCCTTCAGGATCTATTTTCCCCAGCACTCTGGAAGGCTGAGGCATGAAGGCCCCAAGTGTGAGCCCAACTTGGGCAACTTAGTGACTTAGCGAGATCCTGCCTCAAAATAAAAATAAAAAGGAGTGAAGCTGTAGCTCACTGTGGAGGCCCTGAGTTTAATCCCCAGTACTGAAAACATCTTTTTTAAAAACATTATCAGGTGGACAGGTGGACAGGGATTACCATACAGATCAGCTGGATTCTTGTTGCTTTAATTAAATTGATTACCCCTTGTTTATTTGACCTATTGTATCATAAAAGACAAAGTATATCCGGTCAACAAGTTTAATACCAAAAAGTATTCAATTTCTGGGTCTTTCTTTATAGTAGGAAAAACAACTACAGAGGAAACTGTACTGCTCTTAAACATAGTCTAAAAAAATCAGAGCCCACGGAAAAGTCACAGGAACACAGCATCAAGTCCACAATTATTTCTAAAGCCAGAGGTCCGACAGCTATCATTCCTAGATGAGTCCACTCAGGCAGGACAATTTTGCTTTTCTTTCAATGCGTACGAGGCCTTTTCTTTCCAGATAACTGCTGCAGTGCAAGTGTGGACTCGGAACGAGCCATGTCGGGTCCCCCTGACCCAGCTGCTGCCTACATGATGTCTGAGCTAACACCTGCTCCTCCCAGCCCTACACGTCTCACCTGGCCCTGGTCCTACGCGGCCCGCTCAGCACACCTGTCCTGACTGACTTTCCCCACACCCTGGGGTCTGTCCCGTCCCGGGGTATGGCTGTCACCCCCCGGTCCTGTCTGACTTAGGTCTGAATTTCCCAAAGGGCTTTGCATCCACCTGTGTGTCCTGCAGGGCCAGTGGCAGGGTCTCCACCAGGTTGTTTCCAGACATGTTGATTTTTGCAAGCTGCTGGAACTTGGCTTCCTGCTGCTGCAGCCTGGCTGCAGCTTCTGTGTGAGCACCGTGACAAGCCTTCCAGAGCTGGAGCAGGCCCCGGGCCTTCTGCAGCTCATCTGCAAGGTCTTGGTTTACCTGGGTCCACCTGTCAGCACAATGCAAGCAACAGCACCGTCACTCCACACTTTCCCTTGTAGCAAAGGCGCCACTCTATCAGGAAGTTAACAGCAGATAGGTTAGTAAGAAGACACTGTCAAGGGCTGTTTAAAATTAATACCAATAAGCTGGACATCGTGGTACATTTTTGCATGCCTGTAATCTCAGCACTCAGGAGGCTGAGGCAGGAGGATTGTTGCAAGTTCGAGGCCAGCCTGGGCTACACAGTGAGCCAACCTGAACTGCACAGTGAGACCCTGTCTCAAAAAAAAAAAAAGATAATCATAGCATCACTACTGTACAGACATCCAAATTAGGCTATTTACTTGACTTGTAATGTTTAGCAAAAATGACAAAATTTGTGGTTGGCAGGAAATAGCTAGGCAAGTCCCTTAGGTGAAGCAGGAAGGAGCGCTGAGTTATATGCCTGATGGGCAGTGTCTTAGATAGGTCTTATTGAAACTGTTTTTATGTCAAATAAAATGTTTTGCAATTATAGAAAGAAAATACTCCTTATATAAAAGTACAAAGGGAGTTGCTTTGCCCCATATGTATACTGTAGCTTTTGTTTCTTCATTTAATTTTAAAATGTGTTATCCCGTTCATTAATAAAAACGGGAGAGCCTAATTTTAGGTGGCTGAAGATACTAGCCTGTCGTACGTGCAGCGATGGCCCGAGTCCCTCAGCAGCCACTGGTGACCCTGCGTCGTGAGGGTGGCCCCGATCTTACAAGAGTCGGGTGGGTTTCCGCGCTCCCTCTCCGCCTCCCCTCCGGCCCCGCCGATCACCGCTGGGTCGGGACCCGGGCCACCGCTGCGGGGCACAGTCCTTGCTGTTCCCTCCTCCTTTAGTCCTGGCTCAGCGTGGCTCCCCAGAGCCGTGCTTGGCGGAAGGCTGCGTGCAGACGGCCCGGGCAGCTGAACCACAACGCCACTCCGCGAGCAAATCCGCCTCAGCCAACGCTCACGCCCCAGTCGGCAGAACGAGAGCCTGCACGGACCCAGGGCCACACTCCCACCAGAAGCAGGTCATCACCACATTCCTTCCGACCCCACAGTGGACCTCACCGAGAGGCACCTTAACATCGGTTTTTTCAGCACCTTACAACGTCTCCAACGTGTGACCTCCCAGCAGACTGCACAGCGGGCTTCTGTGTCGGACCCTGGTGTCCTGAGACAGCCCTGGTGCCAGGCATCCCCTGCGTAGGTGCCACGCCATAACGAAGGTGTTTCTAAATATCAGCACCCTGGGATGCTAATCCCAGCCAGGGGTTAGCGCTCATGACAGCAAACTGCCAGAGCAGAGAGCAGAGCAACAAGGGCCCAGTCATCACACAGGGCTGAGCAGACCTCTCAAAGCCTAACACCAAGTCAGCCGCTCTGTGATTCCTGCTGGGTCTTAGCGCGCACCTTGCGTGAGTGTGCTGGCGTTTCTCTTCGATTATCTCGGCCACCGAGGGGCAGGACTCTCTGAGTTTGCCGATTACCTCCTGCAGCTTCTCCCAGCTCCCCTCACTGCTCTCAGCTTCATCTTGAAGACACTAAGAGAACAGAGCGAGAAGGACAGTTTCAGAGGGGCTGGCGACCTCCCCCTCAGGCAGTGGCCTCTCAGCAATCACTGCACGTGGATAACACAGACATTCAGACTTCACAGTGCGCGAAGAAACTATCAGGCATGGGGAGAAAACAACTTGGGAAGGCATTCCTTCCTGCTTGAAGCTGAAATATAAGTGAAAACAAAACCAAGCTGGTGGTTCATGCTTGTTATCCCAGCACCTAGGAGGCTGAGGCAGGAGGGCCGCAAGTTCAAGCCCAGCCTGGGTACCTTAGGGACTTAGCAAGACCCCATCTCAAAATAGAAAGGGCTGGGGGTGGAGCTTAGTTCAGTGGCCCTGGATTCAATCCCCAGTACTGGAAAAGAGCCCCAAACCAAGTAAAAACAAATGCAAAACACTTAAGCCAAATACACACACCCACATTTAAACTGTGAGATTACAGGGACATGAGAAACTCAAGGAGGAGCAGGACAGAGGTCCCCTCTGGCTTCTGTGACTCACTTTGGAACGTCAAGCTTACTGGGCCGCTGCTGGAAACACAGGTCCCGTCCGCTCCGTGGAGGACGCAGACGCACTGCTGTGCACCGCTGCGCAGGGACGCCAGTGCTGCTCTTAACTCACCTGCAGGGTCTGCACCTGGCGCGCCAGGGCCTCCAGGGATGGAGCCTCAGGCTCGCTGTGCTCCGCGCAGTACCTGAACCGGATCACCGTCCCGCGCACCTCCTCGCAGAGCTGCTCGCAGCACTGCTGGGCTGCCAGCGCCGACTGCATGGAGGCTCTGAGCCGGGCGACCTGTGAGAGAAGTGGGCAGAGAATGAGTCACTATCTCCTCCCACCACCATCCACGTACCTGACCCTGGCACCTCAAAGACAGGCACAGGAGGGCTGTGGTGATTGGCTGCAGGTGGGAATGGAAGTCAGTGGACCCACTAAACGTGGTATGTCCATACAGCGGAATATTACTGAGTCATACAAAGCAATGAATTGCTGATACATAGGACAACACTGATCTTGAAAACATCACGCTAAGCGCTGGAGGAAGCACTCAGGGGTTATTGATGCTGGGCAGTTCATGGATGGACAATCTAGGTTCGTTGTCGCGACATTTTTAAAATAATTACTTCACTGAGATACTAATTCATACTCTAGGCAATTCGCTTCTTTGAAATGTACAATCTCCATAACCAACTTTAGAACATTTTCCTCACTCCAAGGGAAATCCCACACGCATCAGCAGTTACTCTTCTTCTTCACCAACACTAACCTACTTTCCGTCCCTATAGACTTACCTATGCTGGATTATATTCACATAATATAAATGGAGCCACACATTTTGTGACCAACTTCTTTCACTTAGCATAATGTCTTCTTTTTTCTTTTTGAGATAGGGCTTCACTACGCAGTTCAGGCTGTCATAGAACTCACTTTGTAGCTCACACTGGCCTCGAATTTGCACTGATCCTCCTGCCTCAGCCTCCTGAGAGCTGAGATTGTAGGCATGTGCCACCACAACCCCCTCATCATGTCTTTAAAGCCATCGACGTTCTACAGTATATTGGTACCTCCTTCTTTTTATGGATATATAATACTTCACTGTACAAATACACAGCATTTTACTGATACATTCATAGGCTGATTTTTTGGCTATTATGAATTATGTTGCTCTGATCATTGATGTACAAGTTCTGGTGTACATGTTTTAATTTCTTTTGGCTTATCTACATAGGAGTGGAATTACTGAGTCAAACGGTAACTCTATATTTAACCACTTGAGGACATGGCTCACTATTTTCTAGCTTTTTTTCCCCCAGTATGGGAGGGATTGCACCTTCGTACTGGGTTATCTCCCCAACCCATTTTTTATTTTGAGACAAGGTCTTTCTAAGTCATGAAGTGGCCCAAGCTGGGCTTGAACTTGCAATCCTGCTTCAACCTCCAGGGTGCTGGGGCTCCAGGCATGTGTCACCGCATCCAGTATGGGCGTTTATTTCTGGAATCTCAATTCTATTCCATTTCTCTGTAGGTCTAACTTGATGACGTCACTATCAGCGTGATATGTTTCCATGCATCATTTCCGTTTCCCCCTCTGTATTTTCATGACATTATAATCCTTGCAATTATCTGCTCACGTGTGCTTTGTCACTGGGAACGTGCCGGTTCTCCTGTTCATCTCAGTCGTGGCGAGTGAGCAGTGAGTCACGCATGGTCAACAAGGGCCTGAACAAGCTGGAGTCGGGAAGAAGTGAGGCTGGCCGCTGACTGTGGAGGTCATGCATACAGCTTATTCCCAACTCTCCCGACCAGGTGGTGGAAAGTGGGCTTTGGTGGATGATGAACAGCACACACTGAGGATGCTGGGAGGAATCATGGACCTGGTCTAGCTGGTTAGTAGAGCGTTTGCTCTTTGTTGTGGGAAATGCAGGTTGCAACGTCTGGAGACGCTTGTTTTCTCTCAGTGCTGCCCCCTGGCGACCTGAATGTGCCCTTCATAAGATCCAGGGGGTCCACATGCCCTTTCCTTCTGCACTTTCTCTTCCGCACTGACTGAGCTGTGTCTCCTGCCTCTGGAGCCGTCCCTGTGACAGGACCACAGAGCACCCACCTGCACGTGGGCATCTGAGCTGCTGCTCCAGAGCTGCCCTGTGCCCTGCCCAGGAAACAATGCCAGACACTGCAGGGCTGGGGACACGGGGCATCTGTGTCTTCGGGAGTACAGCAGACACAACGAAGATGGCCCGCTGGGCTTCCTGCCTGTTGGCGACGGCGGGAGTAGTGGCTTTGCCCTGAGTTCTTCAACGCGTGAAGTGGGATTTGAAATGTTTCTCTCCACTTCAAGACTTTCCTCAGCAACCGTTCAGTTTTGGTATACAGCAAGTCTCCACGGTGTTAAAGAACAATCACAACGGCACAAAAGGCAAAAGCAGACCACATGAAGAGAACAGCCTGCTCCAAACGAGCCCCGTTACCTGATCGACCACACGGCTCCTCTTCTGAACCAAGCCCTCGACTCCAGAGGCCGGATCTTCCAACCACGGCGTGGCCCCGCTCTCCAAAGTCAGGTGGCTCTGTCTCAACTCATCCAGGGCTTTGGATTTAGCTGCGAGTTGGTTTTCTATGTCCTAGAAGGGCACAGGGGAAAAGGTTTTCAATGCACAGTGTTATAAAAACAGTAAGGTGCAGGAAACCGGAATGTCTTCAAGTAGAAGAAAAACAACATGCTGTTGGAGTGTGTAATTACAGTGCTACAGCAAAGGCACTTTCATTGTAAGATGATCTTCATCTGATTTTATATTCCATGGCTTTTTATTTTAGGAGACGCTAAGCAACAAGTTGTTTTCATCATGATAGAGGAGGGAGAGCCAGGACAGGGGTCCTCGCTGCACATCTGCCCTGGGCTGTTTACGCAGGCCTAAGTCACACACCCCACATCCCTGTCCTCTGGCAAAGGGAGACGACATCCCCTGTTGTGTGCGGCTTCAGGCCCCACTGAAACCATACGGAGGAGGAGGTGGTGCTTGGAACCGACGTAAAGCGTCACAGAGTGACAGGAAATAGAGCTGGCGGTCTGGCCAGTAACAGCTCCAGCATCCTCTTATACCTCTTAGTCTGTGCTAATTCACTCGTAAAGGCAACCCCAGCTCACTCCACTCTGTACGTACACATTTCCCAGAAGCCCACAGAAGCCCGCGCCCGAGCCCGGGAAGGAGCCCACGGGGCTGGCAATCTGGACACATGATGCGGAGGTGGCCAGCAGCAAATCTGCCGCTCACTACAGGGGAAGGGTGATGGATGGGTGCAGCTTGCGCACCTTCTGGGGCTGGGCTGGATCCAACTTGGAAAACACTCACGCGTCTCCTTAACTTTTTTTTGTCACGCAGGAGACGGAACCCAAGGCCTTGTGCCTACTGAACACGCACGCCACCACTGCACGACGCCCCAGTCCTTTTCATAAAAGAGCGCTCAAGGACGATCAGCGCTTACAGAATGTGCGCTCACCCCTTCTACACTGCTCAGGTCTGCACACACGTGTGAACGTGTGGCCTCCCTCTGACCCTTTGTTCAAGTTTGCTCTCTTGAAGACCATTAAAAAAAAAACAAACCAAGAAATTCAGCTTTCTAAGAAACAACACTGAGGGAAGGAAAGAAGGCGAGGGCCTTGGGGGAAGGGTGTTGGGCAGGGGGCCGCATCGGTGCACCAGCGCAGGACGAGCCCCTCGCATGGACCTTACAGGGTGCTACTGACATCCATGCCCTGCAAAAGCGTCACCTCCCAGAAGGCTTCAGTTCATTCTTGAAATACTGAAGTCACAAACTTTAAAGCAATAAACATCAGGAATCTTCTGGACTGAAGAGTGCAGAAAAGAGGAAGTGAACCCCGTTCCTTAAGAAACTCATGGGGGCAGGACCAAGCAGCCATCAATGGGGAGAGAGGGAGAGGGAGATGGAGAGGGAGGGGGAGATGGAGAGGGAG